CCCATGTGAGGTCACATATTCACAGGTTCTGGGATTAGGATGTGCACATCTTTGGGGATCGCTATGCTGCTCCTGCAAGGGGTCACGGTCGGGGTGGGGGGAGCCTAGATGCAGACATTTCAGGAAGGGCCCCATCACCCTTCACCCATTAAGGAGAAGAACTCTTCATCATTCTCTGTGGAACTTAGGGATTACTTGGATTATAATTAAACCTCTTCTCAGGAGTGTTTAGTTCAGTCATGAAATATAGAGATGAGTGCTTAAAGGTATAAAAATAAAGGAGAGAGAATACATATGTATATGTATTTACTTGTTGATCCGTAGAATATTTATGTTGGGATACATCCGAAACAGAAACCTTGGGTGCCTTTGGGGACAACTGGGTCCCTGGGGTCCGGGATGGATATTGTTTCATTAGTTCTTTTACTAACTTTAGTAGACATAAATTAGAGCACTTGGAACGAGGGAGGTATAAGTTACATACACGAGCGAACATCATCTTTTCCTTGCTTCTAGAAGTTATCCTTGTCTTCATTACAAAGAATATGAATTTAATCCAACTTGGGGGAATCGTGTTATTCTTTTATAAGGAATACTCCCCAGTATGGAGCACATGGTTAAAATTTAGAAGTTTTGAGTAAGGAATGTTTGTGCCTCTGAGTGTTTGTGACGTCCCGTGGAAGACACGCTTTTCGCCCAGTTCCTTTTCCGCGCCGCGGCCGGTAGAGGGCGCTCCCGGCCTTCCCGCGGCGCCTCGCCTCCCCGCCCCAGGAGCTGCGGCTTCCAGGAGACCAGAAAACTAGGACAAATGTTCCCTTAGCTACTTTGGTTTTTCCTTGGTGTTTGCCTTTTTGCAATTTTGCTGCTCTTTGGAGCTTCCCTCAGATGTGAAGTCAGGAGGGACAAATCACTCATTAAGAGTGGAAGTGACTCCGTGTTAGTAATTTTCAGCTGATCATTGGGTAAAAAAGGAAGCTGCAGCCTAAGGGGGGGTTGACAGCCCTATAGCTGTGGGGCTTCTCCCGTGTCTCTGCAGGCCGCCGCCAAAGCAGGAAGGCAGGCAGGGACAGGGGACGCCGCAGGGTGGTACTTGTGTCTCCCAGCATCTCCCCTCCACCGTCAGTGGATTCTTTCTGTATCCAGGCAGAGTAAGGCTGCTTCTAAGGCGCTTTGCAGGTGCAACAAAATAACTGGGAGCTGTTAATAGTGATGGCTCACATTGTCTACTGTGGTCCCTATGTGGGGAGGAAGTGATTAGATGACAATACCCTCATAATCTATAAAGTGCAACCTACATCCTCCTATTTTCATCTTTGTGAGTTCTTAGGTGTGCATTTTTCCTTTCCTTTTAATGATAACCGGCAGTTACGAGTGCCACAGAGCTAACCGTTTCCCCGTGTGACATTTCACTTATTTTCACAGCACCTTGTGAAATTGGTGATACCCCCATCTTCCTATGAGGGACCTGGATTTAGAGGGGTTCCCTGGTAAGCTAGCACGTGGTAATCCCAGGATTTGGACCCCAATCTTCTGGATCCAAACCCCATGCTCTTCCTGCAGCCCGTCCTCGCTCCCGTTGGTTTGGGGGTTTTCTGTATTTCTTTAGTTTTGTTCTTTAGGCCAGGGTGGGAGCCAGCACTGCCATTTCTGGTTGGCCCAGGGCGCCTTTCTCTGTCTACACTCCAGGAACATCGCCATGGCTGTTGAGAAATGATTCTGTCACACAGGGAACCGTGTTCAACTCCAGTAGGGCTTCACTTAAGATGAAGTTGCAGCGAATCTTACTCCGTGTTGCGAAATATACTTGGCAGTGGGTATAAGCAAGATCCCCATTGTGGGAAGTGGCCTTTATCAGTGGGTCCTGTTAAGACTTGCTGTTGAGGCTGGTGCTCTGCGTCTGGTTTGTTCCATAAACCGTTCGGTGTTTAATACAGTGGTTCTTGGTGAATGTTCCATCCTTTTTTTTTGGTTTTCTTTTTTTTTTTTTTTTGGAGGAAGATTAGCCCTCAGCTAACTACTGCCAGTCCTCCTCTTTTTGCTGAGGAAGCCTGGCTCTGAGCTAACATCCGTGCCCATCTTCCTCTAGTTTATACGTGGGACGCCTACCACAGCATGGCTGCCAAGCAGTGCCATGTCCGCACCCGGGATCCGAACCAGCGAACCCCGGGCCGCTGAGAAGCGGGACGTGCGAACTTAACCACTGCGCCACCGGGCCGGCCCCTGAATGTTCCATCCTTACTGTGGAATTCACAACCTCAAACCTGTCAGCCTTGTCCTTTAAGCAGAAGGCCCCCAGAATTCCAGTTTGTTCACAGCGGACCATTTAAGTCAAGGGTCAATGCTGAGAAATGTTAGTCGCTCACCTACGGGGTTGACAGGTCCCTCCCTCGCATCGAGGTGCTGAGACTGTAACACGGACAGAGTTACAGTGGTTTGAACTTCTCAGAAGGGACTTGTCATGGAAACGCCAGGATTTGGTGTTTAGGGCTACTTTGTAGTGTCACATCTCTTTCCGCACTTCACTCATCCTGACCCAGTGGCTAATTTGCGCTGCGTGACCTTGGTTGGGCAGGTCACAACTCTGAGGCCTCAATTTCCTCTTCTGAAAAATGAGGGGCCTGGACTGCAGACATGGCCAAGGGCCCCTTCCAGCTCAAACTTTGTGTGAGTCTCTGTTTGAAGGCTGTCCACTCATTCATTCATTCAGTCAGTCGGTCACTCATCCAGCGTTAATACGTGTCAGATGCAGAGACGCAGTCTCATAAACACAGTCCCTCTGACAGAAAATGCACAGGCAGGGGCAGGGGGTATGGACAGTGTGGCCCTGGGGGGCACCAGCCTGGAAGGGCCAGGACAACAATATCTGAGCTGGGTTCTGAAGAGGGGGTGAGTGTATGTTAGAGAAGGAAGGCGAGGAAGGACAATTCAGGTGGAGGAACAGACGTGTGAAGGCACAGAGGCAAGAAGCACTGTGGCACATTTGAGGAAACGTGAGTGTTCTGGGTGGTTCTTGCAAAGTGGTCCCCTGGGGAAGTGGTGGCATTCAGGGTTGGGGGGTCAGCAGCAGCCAGCTCAGGAAGATCCTGGAGGTTGACCATAACCCAGAGCGACTATGGCCATTGAAGGAGCCTCCGCAGTGTGGCACGTCACTGGATCCGTGGGAGGTTGCATGGGCAGCCGAGTGGAGGACGGCACTTCAGTCAGGCCCCAGGGGCGGTAGATGCTTCTGTTCATCGTGTCGGGGGTTCTGATACATCTGCTCGTTTATCTGGGGCTTTGGGGTTTCTTCATTATAATGCAGAGCAAGCCGACAGCTCCTAACTACTGTCTTTACCTTCAGTCCTATCTGACATGGCTCATGTGTTCTAGAACAATCCCATTTTGGAATGGGTTCCAGGGCACCGCGAGTCTCATGCATTCACATGCGGGTAGGTTGGTGTAGATTTCAGTTAAGGCCGCGGGTCCTCTGGGGCTACGCTCTATTCTCAAAACAGCAGCCACAATGATTCTCATGATGCATGAAGTCACAGAACCTTCAGCAGCTCCCTATCTCTCTCAGATAAAAACCAAAGTCCTAACATTTTTTCGAGGCTACACATGGTCATCTTCTACACCATGTCCTCTGAAGTATCAGCCCCAGCCGCCTGGCCTCCTTGCCGGTTCTCTAATGTGTTGGCACCATCCACCTCAGTGCCTTTGCACTTACTGTTCCCTTTGCCTGAACAACTTTCCATAAACATCTGTGTGTTTATCCCTCACCATCTTTAGGTTCTTTATGGAGCGTCATCTTCACATGAGGCCTTAGCGGACCACTCCCCCCCACTTAACAGCGTAATCCTGTCCCCCCCCCCCAGTACATCTTATCCCGGCTTTATTTTTCCCCACAACCTTTATCACCACCTGATAGTTTGTGTATTTCACTTTTGTGTTTGATAATTGTTTGTCTTCCTCCTCTGGAATGTAAGCCCCATGAGGATGGGGCATTTTGTGGGTTTTCTTCGCTGAAGTCTCCCCATTGCCTAGAATGCTGCCTGCAGATAGTAGATGCTCACTAAATATTTGCTGAATGATTGGCTGTGCTTTCTTTGGCATTCGTTATATATGATATACATTAAATATATTTATGTGTGTTGACCAGCAGGATATGTAGGGGTCGAGGTGGGGGACAGTCACCTGCATCCCTCTCCCCCTGGCCCTGTGGGGTCAGCACACGAGTTTTGAAGAGTGTTGGCTCTTGTCGGAAGTTCAGTCTGCAGCTGGAGTGAACGAGGTGTACATGTCCCCAGGGCTGCTGTAACAAAGGACCACAAACTTGGTGGTTTTAAACAACAGAAATTTATACTCTCATAGTTCTGGAGGCTAGAAGTTTGGAATGTGTCCAGCAGGGTCATCCTCTCTGTAAAGGCTCTAGAGAAGACTCCTTCCTTGTTTCTTCTTGGTTTCTGGTGGTTTCCGGCAATCCTTGGTGTTCCTTGGCTTATAGACACGTCACTCCAGTCTCTGTCTCTGTTGTCATGTGATATTCTCCCTGTGTGTCTTCTTATAAGGATACTGGTCATATTGGGTTAAGGCTGACCCTAATCAAGCATGACCTCATCTGAGCTTGATACATCTGCAAAGACCCTATTTCCACATCACGTTCACAGGTCCCGGGAGTTAGGACTCAACACATCTTTTTAGGGGACACAATTCAACCCACAATATATGGTATGCCTACCAACACGATTCCTTTTCAGTAGGTGAAGGAATTCGTGCAGCTTCCAACACTGGGCCGTAGTTGAGGCGTGGGAAGATGTGAGTCACCGCGTTGCATTGTGTGTGCTGAACTGTCAGCCCAAAGACCTAGGCATTTTCAGCGGGCCTAATTCATAGCTCAAGCCCAGCTAGGTCCTTCATTCATAAAGTAAGTAGTTAACTGAGACCTTTGGGATCTAAGGCACAGGCTACAAAGACTTAACAATAAGGAATTTGGGATTGATATTGCAATAAATAATGGCATCGAATGTGAAAAGTGTAGCCATACAGGATCATCTAGTACTTTCTAATTAACTTCTACGTGCCAGAGATGGTGTTAAATTCTGAATGTTTTTACTCTGATGCGCATAGAACTGTGAGATCAGTGAGAGAAATCACCACATTTGTTTGAGGACTTTGCCTGGCGAGTGACTTTGATGTTGACCCAATCTATGTTTTTTCCCTAGTCAGTGAAAGCTGGGATGCACCCCCTTCCTTCTTTTATCTAGATTGTATTGTCTCGTCTGGACTTCCAGTGATGGGATAAAGCAGGCTTGCTCTTCCACAGACTGTCAGACTCTCTTTGACATCCTTTGGGTTATGGAAAGCCGCCATGTTCTCTGTCTGCTGTAGCGCATGGCCTGGCCCTGCTCTGTTTCTAATACCATTTTCTACCCCACTCAGCAATGTCCCTTTATTACTTCCTGATAGACTGGGAGAATTGAAGCATCTCCTTGTGGTTAATGACTTTCAGAATCCACATATGTATCTACAGATGTCCAAGCAAACCGTAGTCAAAGGGAAGAGAAAAGAGGGGCAGGGAATTCTAAGCTGCTTGACCTCCTGTGACCTGGGCTGGTCCTATTTTACAGGCTGATCTGATTTCAGTGTAAATGACGACATTTTGATACTTCTAACACCTAGGGAGAAAGAGGTCTGGGAGAGAAGACACTGGCTATGGTCTGACCAGATTGCATGTCTCTCTTATAGAACCTAAACGTTTTGACTTGGGGTCTCTGGGATGAGTTCCATAGGGTCCACTGATGCTCTGAAATTGTAATGAGCTTTCATTACAGGAAGCTGTTCAGAGCATTCTGAGGGGTGAACGGTAGGCTGGGGTAGAGTTGCAGAGAGGGCTTGATCAAATGGCCTCTTAGAATTCAAGCCGTGGAAAGCTGTGGCCAATGCTTCCACACATGGCAGAAATCTCTAGCAAAGGCCCTCCATGAATCCTACCGTGCCATTCTTTGTGCTCTGATCATCCTAGCCAGAGGAAGACTTCCTTTCCTCACCCTTCTGAGCCCTGACGATGTTTATTATTGGTAGGACTCAGTTGATGTGAAATGTGCAGTACCCTTACTCTTCTTTCCCTGTGTCAACATAGTGCTTCCCTCAGGGGACTGAAGACCATTGCCTTTCTTAGGTATCTGTGAATTAATTCACTTGTATTCCCAGGGCAGCGCCTGGCTTGGTAACTCCACCATCACCCAGTTGCATGACACATTTATAGAAGTTTACCTCTGAAGGTGGGGAAATGTGTTGGTTTCTGGTAGAACTACTTAGTCATGGAAAGTCCTGAAGACCATTTTAGACACACAGGTGATAGGCAGATTGAAGAGGGGAAGTTGGGCCTGATTACCTAGGCTTCTTTTCAACTCTCAAGATTTAAAAATTCTCATTTACAGTATATTTCCCAAGACTGAGGAAAATGAGGACCGAAAGCCCCCTCCTGCTGTGTCAGGAGGGAGAACTGGATGAGAGCCCAGGTTTGGGCATCCTGCCGGGTCATTTCTGTTGGGTGTTAGGGTGTTAGCCACACCCCTTCTGTGGCTCCTCCTCCTCCTCCTGTATCTCACATTCGTTGAGTGCTTTGCGATTTCCTTTCGTATTTTATCCTTATGTCAATCCTGTAAGAGTAGCTGTAGAAAAGGAACTGATTAAGTTTGATAATTGCAGAGAGAAACTTTGCTGACCTGTTTGCTTTGTTTGGGGGCCTTGAATGGGAGTGGACGTCTCCTAATTACAAGCAAATAAAAATGGGCTTTTGCTTGACTTGACCCCGATGGACATTGCCTTCTTCCTGAAAATCTCTCTACTCGTGTGTTCCCTGATGCCGCTTGTTTCCTGGCTCTCCTCTTTATCACTAATATTTTATATTTAAAATGTCTTCTCTCCAGGCATCCTTCAGACACCTGTGTTCTTTGGGTCCCGCTGGAGATGTCATGGAGACAGTGGGACCCGCTGGAGCTCAGAGGAAAGGCCAGGGCTGGAGTTATGAATTGGGGAGCCAGCAGCATATGGTGATATCTGCAATCCTAGGACTAGATGTGGTAACTGAGGGAAAGAAGACAGAGGGAGTGCACGCAGGGAAGAGAGAGGGCTGGAGGCTGGGCTCCGAAACAAATAAACCTTTGGAGTTCTGGCAAACGGGGAGGAGCTGGCAAAGGAGACCAATGATATGGAAGACAAACCAGGGAGTATGGTGTTCTGGAAGGAAGAGACTCTGGGGTCAAGGAAGACAGAAGAAGAGGTGCTTCCCTGAGGAGAAGCACTCAGCTGATGTGGAAATAAAGAAAGTCGAGGACCAAGAGATGAGGATGTGGCAACATGGAGTCTTCTTGACATTGACAAGAACTCATTCAGTGCAATGAGCTCATGCATCCTTGTGGATTCAGCTTCCACTGATGACTTTCAGTTTTCTACCTTTGGTTCTGATACCTCTCCAGGCCCACATCTATCCCCTTCAGTTATGATTACAGCAGAGAGGGAACAAAGTTTAGTAGAAAGAGCATGGTCTATGGTTTAGGAAGGTCTGAGTTGGACCAATGTCACTTACTAGCTGTGAGCCCTTGGTGAGTCACTTAATTCTCTAAGACTCACTTTCCTCATTTATAAAAGTGGAGATACCAAAGCACAGTTCTCAGGGTTGTTAGGGAGATTCGAGGGCTAGTAGTTATGATGATGTAGAACTCTTTTTAATCACCTCTAGATCCCCAATGCCTAGCTCGGAATCTGATGCATAGTAGGTACTCAATAAATATCTGTTGCAGAAGTAAATGATGGCTGACACTTAGTAGGTATACAAGAAATCTTTGTTCCTTTCTTCTTCTTTATGTCTCTCTATATTTTCTTTATCACAAATGGCCCCATGGCAAAACTTAAATTCTTTGCTTATTAGGTGTGTTGTGCATTTTTTTCTCTTCGTTGAAAGGTTATTTGCCAATGCCCATTTATAACCATTAAGTGATTATCTGAAATATTAAATATTAAAAAATGTTTTAAAAAGTGGTTATCATTAGCAGTCTGGCTTGTTGGTGGGTCCATGTAGTGGCTGGCTTCTGGTTGTGTCTGTCTCATTTACTCTGTTTGATACCTACCTCCCACAACATTTCCTTGGCCTGGCTTCTAAGGGTATTTTTCCGGGAGCTTTCTGAGTAAGATGAATGGTGATTTCAGCGACAGTAATGCCCAAGTATTTAACATAGCTAGACAATGACTTTCACATTTTGGGAAAAAGAATGAATTTTCAGGGAGTTTTTTTGGCTGGCATGTCAAGCAGTTTATAGTAGGCTGAGTTTAAGCTGGGCCAGCAAACAATGGTAATTCTTTAAGAAACTATTTCTCAGTTGCGAATTGAATTTGAAGAATGTGCAAGAGATCCCACAAAAACCTGGAAAGTACTGGTTTTTCGTAGGGTCTCTGATGCTGGTCAACAGCAGCCATAAATCCTGTATTCCCTTCCCGTCCTTAAGCATTTTCGCTGTAGGGTTCCTTGTTTTCTTATTGTTGTTATAAATAAATATATCTATGGAATCCTTCCAATTCCATTTCCCTAAACCATTCTGGAAAGTGGTTTAGATGGGGAAAAATTCTTGTTTTTTCTCTGGAACAGTAAATAGTAGCTTTTGCTTACATAGGTTCCCGAATAAAATGGCCAAGAGCTTTAAAACCTCAAGTTCTAATGATCAAATTCTGCCAGCTCTGCTGGTTAAGTTCACTGTAATTTCTGGCTGCATCATTTTCTAGACAGATGTACTTACTCAAGTCTATGGCATTCTGACAAATAAAGCATTGACATTGTCAAAATTAAATTCCCAGAGCGGATCCCGTAAGAACAACAAACGGAAAGAAATTCAAGTTAAAACAAAGCAACTCTCATTTAGAAATCAAGAGAAAAAGTGACTTGATTTTATGGATCTAGAAGTGATGATATCAGGTAACAAGGGATGGGGCTGCTAATAACACAGTGTCTGATGAATGATGGCTGAACAGGTAAGGGAATTGTTCATCTCACTTACCCATGAACTTGGCCAAGAGCAGATTGCCTATCAGGGACCCATGATCTTTTTATTTTTCCCCTCTGCCATCCCTGGCCAGGTCATCATTCTCAGCCTTGTTGCTTCATGTTCCAAGATGGCTGCCGTATCTCTAGATATGGTGTTGACATCCCCGAGCAGAGGGGGCAGGTGGGGGGGGGGGAGGGGAAAGGAGGAGGATACAAAAATACAAAAGCACATGACAGTGGATCCTGACCCCTTTATAATGCTTTCCTGGAAGTGGCAGCAGTAACTTACTTATATGTCTCATTGGCTAGAATTGACCACATGACCACCCCTAGCTACAAGGGATGTTGAAGGGTCATGAATATTTAGTGTGCCAGCCTCCATTGTAGAAGAAAACAAGGGAGGAAGAAGAGCTGGGAATGGCTCTTGGGTCCCCAACCCACAGTCTCTGCCACGGCGGTTCTAAATTGAATGCAAGCTGTTGAACCGTTGTAAATTAGCTGGGAAACTTGACTTGAGTGGGATTAATAAAAATTCAACTTAAAATGCCTCGGCAAACACCTTGAGGAAGAAGGCAGATTCATTTTAAGGGTGTCCTTTGGGCTTGAGAACTTGATTTTAGTTTTGCCACTTGGTGTTTGTTTTGAAACAGTATTCCTTGCTGCTTCATTTTATTGTCCACTTTTGCCAATCTTTCGCAAGTTGGGGAGGGGGGAGTGGGGAAAGAAGGAAGACAATGAAGAGAATACTGTGAGGTAAACTATATTAACAAATATTCTGTCTTTCTCTCTTCACTCCAGTTTCCTCCCAAACATAAATAAACAACCTAGAATCTAGAACCTTCTAGGTAAATTTGTCCAGAGGGAGCTGTTAATCCTTGAAGTGATGCGAGAGCATTTGAGTGACAGCCTTTGTTTACCAGCATCACAGAATTGTGGCTGCGTTGAGAATGCAAGTGGCCTTAGGCAGGAGATTGGGACCAGCTTCTGAGGGGACGGGGGCAAGGGAGAGAAATCACTGCCCATGAAGCACGGGGCTCTTTCCTTGGGAAGGTCCCATGTGCCAGCTGGAAGCAGGTGGCCTTGGGTATGACCAGTTTATGTGCAGCACCCAGGGGGAACCGTTTGCTGAAGCCAAGTATGAGAGTCACCTCTTTTCATGACACGTGGCTGCCTAAAACTCACCCAAGGTGGAGAATATTCGCCCAGAGACGGATGAGGGTGTAGGTGGTGCTGACAATCTGAAGAGGATAGAAATGAACTCAGTCAAACTCTACTTAAAGATTAGCCAGTGGCTCGAGTTTTGAGATTTGGATGGCTTCACCGTTGGCTTCTTTGAGCTGATGGAGAAAAAATGTGATTCACAATTGTGTTCACTGACCATCTAGCGCCCTTATAAGCACATTGGCATGTATGCCTGCGATTTTGGCCTTTTAGTCTGAATAAAATGATGCTTTGTTGTTATGAAAATACTGGAAAATGCTGGAAGGGCTGGGGACAACCGCAGGGAACTCAGGTTTAGCTGAGGACGAAGGTGAGGTGAGCAGGAGCACACTGGGAGCCCAGAGGTCCAGCTGGCCCCTCTGTTCTTTGGGAAACGCTGAGGGCAGATTCGCTGAGAGTGACAGGTGCTCCAGCCACACACAAGAGCATCCTGGGGCATTTCAAGTCTTCTAGCATCTCACTCTACTCGTGTGTACCCTCACCAGGTAAATATGACAGGACCCTTTGGACTTGGGGATAGAATCCAGTAAGTCACTATGACATTGGGAAGCTGGCTGCGTTTTGAGGAATGGGAACCAGGGGTCAAGTCTGGGGAGTCCTGTCTGTCCTCGCTCTCCCGAGGGACGGGGACATCTGCTTGCCTTGGAGTTTCTACTGTGAGGACAGCACTGTGTGGCTTCCCTGTGGTGGGGTCAGAGTTTCTGTTTGCAAAGCTCTTTCACTCCCTGGAATGTTTTTTAAGTTTAAAGACTTCAGATACCTAGACTTTGGTTTCACTTTTTGTACAATTATTCCTGGAGAAATATGCCAATGGTGGAAAACACATTTATTGAACCCCGTGCATATTGTGAAATGTCAGAAGAGCAGCCAGGCCATTATTTTAATACTCAGACTGTGTCCACCCAACCCAGCCTTCCAGGTGGAAAATGCAAGCAACCATCTGTAAATTTTACTAGTATGTATCAGTTTTACTTTACACAGTTGCGAAACAATCCGTACTTTCTTCGTCTTTTGTTTTTCTGGAGGCAAGGTTGTAATTATTTGCAAATACAATTCCAACATCCATTTGAAAAATTATTTAAAACTCAGTGTTTTGCCCACATGTTGCCAACCGTCTGGGTGTTTCTACATTTCTCTATATTCCTGTGCTGTCTGGTGTCTTAGGGACAATAGCTGCATTTTCCCACCTTTCCTTGGAATCATAGTCTCAAAGTTGTATATCACCTTGATTCCTGCTCCCAAGCTCTCCTGCGATTTTAGCACATCCTAACCTTTTCTGGCTTATCGACTGGATTTTTGGTCAGACACCCGTGGTTACACTGAGATCTGTGTTTTCTTCATTTCAGAGTCTGGGAAATATTTGGCGGTTTCCAGTGGAAAGTAAAACTTGAATTTCAAACAAAGATGAAGCAGGCAGACTTACATAAACATGAAGGTTTTGTTGCATTAAAGAGCGATCCTTGGTATACTTAAGAAGTAATTTTAGCATTTTTGGGGTTTTAAGGCACTGGTTTATTTCAAAAGCCCTTAACATTCTTTTGGGGGTTTTCTTCTGAACCAACGTTGTCCGTTCTTGCTGCTCAGCATCGACTGCCAGACTGGGTGGGCTGCACGGAGCGCTCAGCTGGGAATGGCAGCCATTCCTCGGCTGGTATTTGCCTTAATTTTTTTGGGCGTGTCTGCACTGGCAGCCTTTTGTGACCAAATGTACTGGCTGCTGGGGGAGCTTCAAAAAGTTATTTTTGACTTTCATAGAAGATCTTGATTAATAGTCTCTTAATCCATCAGGGTCTGACTACAAGTGGCAAAATCCCAACTTGAACTAATTTAAATCCCAGAATTCATTGGCTTGTGCAGCCGTACATTGGGAAGGACAGGAACTGAGCTCGCCCTGGGGATGCCTAAAACCAGGTCTCTCACTGCCCCCAGACTCTCTCTCCCTCTCTCCTCTCTTCTCCGTGTGACAACAAGAGCTGGTCACCAGCACTTCCAGGATTCACCCATCACAGCCTCAAAACTGGAAAGCAAAGGCAGTGCCCAGGGTCCAGCTCCAGTTAAAACAATTCCAGTGAAGTCTCCTGGTCTGGCCAGGGTCATATGATCAGAGGCTACTGGAAGAATTGGAGGAGGCTTCACGGGGTAGACAAAATAATGTGTCCTTTGCATAGCACATTTTGGATTCTCTGCCTTATGGAGATTTTAGGGTCTTAGGACTCTAAGAATTTAGGCTCTGGGAGACTGTGCGTTCAATTATTTTTACTTCAGGGAATCTTGAAGAATCTACACCTATCCCAGTGAAAGATGGCAGAGACTGCAGTTGCTGAGGGAACCCTGACCCCGTCTGGGCGTTTGAGTGAATCTGCTCTAGCTGAGGCTAAACAGGATAAGAAGGAAGAGAGGAAAGGAAGGAGGGCTTTCATTTTGTTAGATCTTAAGCTATTAAACCAAGAGGGCTTCACTCTTCAACTTTAAATTTTCCCTAGGAATTCTGTAATGGGAGGGACCTGTACTGACATTGGACATTTTTATATTGCTGGTGGTGTATTATCGGAGTGTCTTCACGTTGTCATTTCATCTCATTGCTTAAACTCTGGTGGGCTATTTTGGACAGTGTGAGTGGGGCAAAATCTGGGACTGGAATAGGACAGGCCAGGAGTGGGTTTTCAGCCTGGTGGCCAACATGGCTTTGAGTTGGCTCAAGAATGAGCTTTCCTCATTTCAGAGCCTTATGGAGCTGGGTGGGGAATCCCTACCTTAACCCCAGGAGGATACAGGTGGGCCAATGAGTGTCCTGGAGGAGGTTCCTGAAGGTGGGGCAATGGTCCTGATCCTCACCCTGAAGAGGCAGCCATAGCTTGACCTCGGTTGTTGGTCAAGTCCAATGGGGTCAGGGAACAACCTGCTGGGGACATTAAGGGGACTTCCACTTTCTTCTCATGTTTCACTTCTGGCCTCTGGCCTCATCCCATACTCCCTCACCTCCACGAGGCAAGCTGTACCAGAGGGGTGAATGAAAAAGCCCAGTCTCCATTGGTCTACTTCTCTACCCAGTGGGATCAATGGATTAAAAGACACAGGTATGCAAGTCTCCTCTTGCACTGGACTCCGCTTCTGCTTCCATGTGGGAGGGCACTAGACCCAGGCTCTCACCCCACCCAGCCTGTGCTGCAGGCTCAGCTCTCCCTTCTGTGTTCACTCAAGGGTCCAGAATTGGAGAGAGGAGGGGGGACAGGAAGCATGATGGGGGTCACATGAGCTCCACCTTCTCCAACTCAGCCTTATCAGTAATAAAACTGATAGTGTGATTTCTGACTCCTTTGTCTATTTTCTCAAATTAGTTTTGAGCTCAGATGTTCCGAATGAGCACTTCTGTGCCCCATGCTTCCAATTCAGGAAAAGCTGCTTCATACATTTAGTGAGGTGAAATAAAATTGCTATGTGATTTGTTATCTATAGCTCAGTAGAAGCACATAGGCCCTTCCTTATTGCTTGCCCAAGTAGATCCCATTTGCTATTTAAGATATAGCACTTGAGTTCTAAGAATCTATGAATTGTGTAGCACAGGATAACCATGCATTTTTTGTTTGTTTTTTTGTTTATAGGCTATGCTTTTTAGTAAGGAAGATTGGCCCTGAGCTAACATCTGTTGCCAGTCTTCCTTTTTTTTTTTCTCCCCAAAGCCCCAGTGCATAGTTGTATATCCTAGTTGTAAGTCCTTCTAGTTTTTCTTGACCATGAATTTTGAGATCCAAATCTATGTCTCAAATTTCATTTTCAAATCAAATCAAACTGATATTTAATTACTTAAGTAATTTTCTTCAGCAAGTACACAGTATAAAAATCCAAGAAGTAATATTTATTTTTCTTGCAACTGTTGCCTTGGTTAGGGCCTCAGAAAACATTTGGTTCTACGTAGCCAACATTTTCTTAGTGGATTTTCCTACCCCAGCTCTGGGTTTTAGCTTCCCTGTGCACAGTGATGATGTGAACGACAGCTCTGTTCAGTGCAATCACAGAAGTTACAAGATTGAAGCACGTTTATAAGCTGCTGCTTTGTTTCTAGATGGTAAGTCAAACAAAGTATGCATTCATTCATCTAATATTTATTGGATTCTGACTATGTGCCAACGCTTTCAGTGGTATAGCATGTTTGGCTAAATCAGTCAACTTCAAAAGTTATAATGGAGCAAACATGAAGGAATCGTGCCAAAGAGGAGGCATTTCTTTCTTTGTTTCTTCCTGGATTAATGGTGCTCTTATAACCCCTCTCTCTTACATCAACCATCCATCCATCGTCCTTTCCCTTTTTGCCTATCTGGAGAATGTAATGAAGTAACTCTATGTTATTTTTAAAAAGTAAAACAAACAAGCAGAAGCAACACTTTGGATCCAGAAAGATTCAGTTATTATCTTGAGTCACCGTCTTCTAAGCATGATTTCCCCATGAATTGTGTCATTTTTGGATTACTTTTACCATTGATTCATTTTATTAACTGATTCTGAACTTGCCTTACTTTTCTTCTGAGAAATATCCTTTGACAGAATTCCCTTTCTAGGAACATATTTATTTTCGTCCATTGTGGGTATGCCTGCGTGCTTAAGGGTGGGTGGTGATATTTGAACCAAGATCGCGAGCAGTGAGCTAGTGTGGAACTCACATGAGACTGTCAAGCAGGCAGTGGGGACTGTTGGTCTGGAATCGTTAGGCCAGAGTGAGATGTGTGGACGTCATCAGTTTTGCTAGCCGTTGAAGCCTGTGTAGCATCACACACATCCCTCCACAAAGGCATCCTGGGATGCATCTTCCTGACTTCTTTGGAGCCCAGGCCAGTTTATTCAGAGCCTTTAGGTCTCTCGGGGAGGGAGAGAGATCTAGAGGTGGGATATGAGTCCTTGCACAGATCTATACCTGGCGCCTTCAGCGCCTGGGGTAACTCTTGTTCCACTTCTTCTCCAGACTTGAGCATCCATCTGGACCTGCAGAACTTCTCTCTGGACCCAGACTCCCACAGGAGTCTTAGAGCTGAAATAGGACATTGGGAAGTTGTCCAGATCAGCAACTGAAGGGTTTCTCCTGGAGTTAAAGTAGAAGTCACCGACTGGCCACCAATGGACT